ACTACTTTCATATTCATGTCATTGATAATGAATATGACTATTTATTTCCAAAACAATATAGATATCTTAATGATTTTTCATCATGTAGAACCCAGTATCATTGATCGACCAAATCAGGTATACAAAACAATCAGAAACTTTCTTATTGTACAGTTCATCGTGATATTTGTTGCAATTGTCATATTTTACACTTGTATGTTTTATGATGATATTCAGCGAGGATTTCCCGGCCATCTCTCATCATATATTCTGAGAGAAACTTTAACAATAGTAATTAATATACAATACGTAGACACAGTTCTATTATTATCAATATATTTTAATCACTTAAATCGCAAATTAGAATCCCTCGGACGCTCTGAAAGTCAGAGAATTTCGTTGGTTGCCCAACAAAATAAACATTTTGAAACGCTATTTATGAAAATTAATGCAGACCATGTGCATGATCTGAGGAAAACGCATTTCCTTCTGTGCGACGCTATGAGAATTGTCGATTCCATTTTCGGAATGCGAATGCTGGTTATGTTCCTTTATTTTCTGGTGGGCACTCTGGTGGACATATATCGCATTGTGAAATGGACTACTTCAAAGTTTCATTTTGGTGAGTAATATTAATAGTTCAACAATAAATAAATATTTTTTAAACTTTCCTTAATAAGGCAATTAATAAAGTGAAATGTTGCATGTTTGTATTGAGCAATATATTTTTAGATTTTTAGCAATATATATTTTATCAGAATTGTTTCGCAGAATTTTTATTCAAGAATTTCTCTAAAGTTTTCTTATTATATCCCCATGGCAATCTACAATTAATTTTATTTACCTTAAGGTATGTCCAGTTTAATGTGCGAAGTGTGTAAATGAACTTAAATTAAACGCATTGAAAGCATGATAACAGAATTGTGACATAAGAGAACATAAAAAACGTCTAGCAATAATGAACGACAAATGTTATCGGACCCAGGTTCCAAGTCATTCTTTTATTTATAAAATTTTCCGTTACAGCCGACTAGAAGACAGTGGCTGCTGCTCTCCTAATAAAAAGCCCGTTTTCATTTCATTTAAAGAGACAGCGTTTAAATGGCATTTCATATTTTCGAGAATTTACATGTTGAATGCAAATAACAGGATCATCCTACCGTAATCACTACATCAATTCAGCCATCCTTCACATGCAATACTCATACAAATGAATTGAACACTAAATTAAGTTCGTTATGAAAGGCATTTAGAAATATTTGAAATTCAGCCAGCCTTCAAGTAGATCGTTTCGTGTATCTTGAAAATGTACATTCCTGCTTGAGATACATCATACTCTGGAGAAGCACATCTTATATCACAAAAACTTTTGGATTACAGAAAAAATGAACGAAAAATAAGAAAATCCCACATACGTGATTCTTGTAAGCCTCTTTTCATTGAACTTGGAATTTTATCATTTATTTACTAATCTGTAGTTAATCAAAACTTACTTAAGGGTGTATTGTCTAGCAGTACTGAATTTTGTAGCACATGCCGTAGGAATCACATGCCTTAGGTCTCAGTGACCACCACTCACAACAAGAAATTCACATGTAATACATGTTCGTTACTTTACAATAAATTGCCAGATGATATTAAAAATCGTCACAGAAGTTTAAGTATAAAATTAAATATTTTCTGCTGGATAACTGTTTCAATACAATTGGAGATTATATTGGACATCAAATAGAAAACTAATATTTATTTTAACAATGATATTTAATGAAGATTTTTAGCATATTATAATTTTATGCCTGTAACAAGTAACATACCGTACTTCAGCTACCGGGTCAAAGTCCCTCTTCTCGATCAGTTTTTTTCATCCAGTTTCCCTGAGCAAATACTGAGATGACTCCTTGATTTGCTTCCGGACACAAACGTAACTTAACTGTGTCAGGTTTTGTTGAACTCCTTTTCTAGTTGTGGTAGCAGTAGAACCTGGGATGTGGGTTGAGACTTTTGTTAGCAATACTATAATAGTAGTTTATGCAATGTTAATGCAAAAAAAAAAGTTTATAATGTTAAGCTTTATTGCATGAGTACATGTTTTGAAAACGAGCGACTTTAAAGCCGAGTTTCAATTCTGTCGAATGCTATAAGCACATATAAACGGCAGTTGACGCATCATCTATTATTTTTGTATAACTCAATATAGTACATTAATAGCCAGAAAATCAAAACTAAATTCTTGCGAACAACTTCCTGCCGACGACTCGAGTATTGACCCGTGGTCGCGCTTGTCCGTTTTAGCTCTACCTCCCCCCCCAGTTTCTCCGTTACGCATTGGCTGAAAGTGCTTAGAGGACGCAATCATTTGCTCGACATAAAATTAATACTATCTTTGTGCCGTAAAATGCCCGATTATGAACGATTTCTTGCAACAGAAAAGGTTCTTTTATAATGCTGTATTACAAAAAAATTAAATATGTTGTTCGTATACTGTTGCAAATAGGTTTTCTATAACTCGGGCGTGAAAATGTCTAGTATTAGAACTTTCCTAACTCCGCTTGGTTGGTATTTTATTCATCATTCAACTATGTGGGTAATACTCGTATGTAAAAGGTTGGGAAAGGGACACCGGAGCTCAAGGAAACGTGCCCAGATTTATACTTCTCCCCCATACGTTACACATTTAATCCGACAGATGAGTTAGGAAATCAGATACTTACTGAAACTAAATGTGCACAATTTTGATATTTGAATCGCTACGCCCTAATTTCATGTCTCAATTATTTTTGAATGAGAACATAGATTCAATGTTCTTGTATGATTGCTTTCTTCTATACTATCATAACAGCTATCATAAGTGGTCAAAAAATTGTCGATAAATCCAAACAAGGCGTGTTCTTTAGTTCAACTATTTCGTGAATAATATCGGTACTTAAAACACTCAAAAACTTTTGACATAAATAAGATAAAAAATGAGGGAATTTTCCCTCATTTTCCTCCCCGTGAATCCGCGCCTGTATATGTACTATAAAGTGAAATATGAATCTCGTTTATGTTGCACCGTAACCTGTGACTTAACTAACAGACCACTAAACCGCGTGCGATATTCCTTCGTCATCCTGTTCTCTCTTCTTCTCTTATATACAAGTACATGCACTACACTACCACACATGTCGGGGGCTTACAGCTTGTCCCGATGAGGACAACGCTCCGCTAGTAGACCTTCGGCCCCGCATCTCACGTTTGAGCGGGGGAGGGGGTTAGCTTCCGGGATACAACATGCGTCTTCCCAACGTACGGGACCGACTATCTGACTAGGTGAGGCGACCAGCATGAATGTTTTTTGGCTTAGCCGAAGGTTTGTGTGATTGTAGTTGTGTGTGCAGTTCGCGTTTTACTGCCAAGTGTAAGTGACTGGATTTTAGTCAATAACCAAATCGGCTTTTGCGTTGCACTACGCCCTCAGAATATGAGAGGGGAGTGCTTGTCTTCTTTGTCCTAAAGGGAGGACATGTCGAGCTAATTGTTTTAGCGTTGCCGGAGCTTCGTTAAACGAAAGCCGCCTCAAGCATTGAGCGAAGGACTCGATATCACGTTCCTTGCTCAGAGCTCTCCGAAACGGAGGGCGTGCTAAACGCGCGCAGAACGCCTCCTCGTGTCAGATGGTGGGGTGTTTGCGCAGGCACGCTGACGGCGGCGGCGTGGTCGGGGCTGAACGCGCTGCTGCTGCTGGCCATCGTGGCGAGCAGCCACCGCGCGGCGGCGGGCGGCGCGGGGCGCGGACGCTGCCGTGCGCGCGGCCTGCTGCTGGGCGCGGGGGCCAGAGCCAGCGCGCCGCCGCCGCCACCGGCTCCCAGCTGCCCTCCTGCAGAACAGCTTGCGCGCCGCGCGCCCGCGCTCTTCCGCCGCCGGCCTCTTTCACGCTCGACCTGCCGCTCGTCGCCCGCCTTCCTCGGCACGCCGCCACCGTACTTCGTCGTCGTGCTGCAATACTGACGCACGCCACGCCCTCATTCACTGTTTGTGGCGGGAACGCCGGCAGCGATGGCTCTATTCTACAGCAGGGTTGTCCAACTGGCGACCCGCAAAAGGTTATTAGCCAAAGTGAAAGTCCCTTTTATCCATATCGGGAGAGAATATTGTGGACCTAGCACACGCGCCCTGTCGGGGTCAACACCCCCTTTAATGGAAGAATAGGTTAAGTTTAGATTTAAGATTTTTTTTATCTAGTACATTCAGAATTTCAAAATCATCCCAATGTTTCACTGTGCTTTGCATGTTACGGCCTGATATCACGCATTGTTCTATCCCCCCCCCTTCCGCGTTTCAGGGCACACGGGCAAACCACTTTTGGTATCAAGGACCCACAAGACAAGGATTCAGACTGCACTACATGTTGGAGAAAGTTATTTTCTACTAAAAGAAGCTACAAAAATCCACTCTGGTGTCAGGGACGCAGGAACTAGATTTTCTGTCAAAATGGACACATTTTCCTGCAACATTACAACTCAAAGCAGTAGTATAAGAGGAAGTAAAAAGACAAGCTCATCATCTTGATTCTGTTGCCCAAGCCAGGATGGAGTACATTTCTTCAGTTCTTACAGCTGAAATATCCAAAATTCACTATCATAGAGCAGTTTTTAAATCTTAAAATGGTTTGACACAAAGTATCTTAAAATTGGATGATTAACTGTCTTGTGATGAAATATTTAGTTAAAATGTTGTAGTTCATAGATGTCTTCTCAATATAATTTTTTACATGATGAATAAACAAAACTTGAGGGCTAATGGAGAAAATGCACAACTGATGTTCCAAAAATCAGACATGATCACTGGGGTTAAAGTTTCAAAACATTATTGTTCTTCTGAGATATTGAAACATGGAAAACATTAATTTTCCACTCTTCTGGACAACTTTTGTTAAAACTTCGGTTCAGTAAGTAATTTATTCCCTGCAAAACAGTGATTTGAAGTCACTAAACGAAAGGACCAGAGAATAAACTAAAAATGTATTACTTAAAAACCAAATATTCTGTCTTCAGCATATTTATTCTTGAAATACCTTTCAAAAAATGTTGGCAATTATATACATCACATACAATAATTCACATTGTATTTGAGATTTCAGACACCAAAATACCAAATACTTGATAAGCTGATGTTGGAAATAATAATTTTACTTTGCAGTTGCAAAATACAAATATGAATTAAAATACATTTTATGTAATCCTAACAATATTAAAAGTACAACAACTTTATATACATTCTTCACATCACCAATGAACACAAAACCTGATATTAACAATATCATTATATAAAATTTTTAATTCCTTAAAGCTTCATTGCACAAATTATATATTTAACAGAAAATATACTAATATATACACATCTATTAAATCATTTCTATTAAAATTGCTGCTCTCAATCGAAGACATGCAGAAACAATTGATGTACTGCATGATATACTCAATTATCATTATCTATTCTCTTCTTAATTATTTTGTACCTTTACTGTTCATGGTTGTTACTCATTAGTGCTACTTAATTACTTTAATTTCACAAAATGAGAAACGTATGAAATTGGGATTTATAATATTTCTTTTTAACCATTGCTCAAAATGTGCAAGAGTATTGTAATTCTCGAACCCACAATACACCATCAGTTCCTTTCGAGTTTTCATATCAAACTTGAGCTGTGAGTTCTAGATTGCTAACCAGTGAGCAAGGACGCAATTTTTTATTCACAGACAGCATGGCTCTAAAATGATCCTTGGTGCGCAAAAAACAAACAAAAAAGTCCGAAGTCCACAAAGTTTACTAAGTCACACAACTTTAAAAGGCCCCACATTTCGTCAGAGCTCATGTACCTCATGCTCTTGCGTTGCCTTGGATTACTTGTGCGTTGAGTTGTTGTAAAACATTCAGCACAACATCATGAAGAGTCTGTAATCACAATGAAGAAATATTTTTTTAAAATTCAGACTTTCTCAAAAATCCATAGAAACCTATGGAAAATTTTGTATAATAATCACATCTTATCCAGGTTAAAAACAATATTAATTTGAAAGAACATAGATTGAAAGGTATCTGCAGTTTAGTTACTCAGAAAACTCCTACTATTAAAAGTGCACAAACAACATTAGACTCTGATATTCATTAGTGCATGATTTAAAAATGCAAATAAGAGCAGAAATTTAATTTACTGAAAAGTTAATTGAAATTATCTTGCATACACAAGTACTCCTTTAGAGGCACATAAAAGATTATTTCTGAAGGCATGTAAACTAATCATGCAAATAATTATTCCATGCTGTCATGCACATACATTTTCATTAGTTTTAATTTATCAGAAAAGACAAAACACAGAATGTTCTGCACCAAAATCTCTGGTGATGTAATAAAAAAATAATTCTTTATTTTATTTTTGTCTATGTTATTATTTTGATTTAATGACTTCATTTATCACAAGCATAGAGAAACCCCTAATGTGGAATGACAATAAGCATGTAGAAATAAGCACAACTTTTCACGTCATTGCAGTTGCAGTTGAGTTAGCAAGCAGTGCAGATGTAGTAGCGGATTGCTCGGTAAACGAGAACTCAAAAGTGAGGTGTATGTATTTGAAAATGACGAGTAAGACCGACAGTTGGAAAAAAAGGAATGGGAAATAAATGTTGAAAAGTAGGGTGTTCTAGTTTTTGTAGAAATTGGTGAAAGTACAATAAATTGCCATTCATACGCCAAGTATTGGGTGCTCGAAACAACACGTGTGTGGTGGCAGTGCTGGATACAGCAGACTCCGGAGGCACGGATGGCAGGCAGTGCGAGGTAGCTGACTGTGCTGGTGGACGTGACAACACAACAAATGTTCAAGTACGCCACAGATGAGTGGCATCGGCAGTGGCTGACCAGGGAGCTGATACAGCAGCAAGCTGAGTGGACAGTGCGGAGCTGACCGGCTTTAACAGGTGGATTGTAAGTCAAGGTTAATAGAGCATAAGAGGATGGGTAAAATTAACCTCATAAGGGAATTGGAGCGATGTAAGAAAAAAATAATTAGAGAGGGCATCTACTGTAGGAAATGTATGAAATACTTCCATAGTAGCTACAGTAACAAACATCAAATGGTCGACACTAGAGATGAGCTTGTGAATTGACACGAGGATAGAGAAAAGTGTGTTGAAAATAACAGAAATAAGAATGATGAAGAAGAAAATTCAAGTGGAAACATTAATAGTATGTTACAAAGCAAATTATATTTAATAATTCAAGATATAATTGAAATTAAAAATAAACAGCAAAGTATAGATAATTTGGAAGAGAAGTAGTTTTAGAAGAATTAAATATTATCAATGTACAGATGGCAGACATGATAAAAAATGTAAATATCAATGAAAAGGGGGTCAAAACAGTAACTTATGCCAAAATAGCTAAAAAAGAAAAAACAATTGTATAAAACCAAAAATACCACATGATAGTAATATAATAAAACAAACTCTGAAGGAGAATGTTAATATTAATAAACTCCCGGTAGAAGTAACTACAATCAAGAAAGGAAGTAAGGGGGCAGTGTTTTTAGAATGTAATAATGAGAAAGGGAAAGAGCAATTAAAAAAGAAAGTAAAGGAAAAATTAATGAAAAAAGTACATACTTTTAAGCCAAAGAATATTAAATCTAAACATAAAATTATAGGAGTAAGAACGGAGGAGATTGAATTGGAAGACAAACAATTAAGGTAATTAAGATGCAAAATGAAATAGAAATGAGTAAAGATATGACATTAAAGTGATAAAAAGCTAGAGTGTTGTCAGATATTTCAAGTTCTGATGTTTTAATCATTTTAGTAAAGATTGTAAGAAAGTAATTATATGTTAAGTGTATGCTGAGACAGTAGACAGTAGAGGATGCAAATTAAATAAAAAAATGTGTGAACTTTGAAGACAAAGTTAAAAGACAAAAATTGATGGGTATTTCGACTGATCATGAAGCAACAGCCAAAGACTGTCCAATTTATTGAAGAATCATAAATGAAAAGAAGAAAAGAATTGATTATACTTCTGAATAGCAATCATTGAATATACAAGTGACATTCATAACACTAAATGAACTAAGACTTTTCACAAATTTCGGTCAAATCAGTAAATACATAAATCAATGTCAAAATAAACGTAGTTTAATGGCGTTCACTGAGACACAAGTAGTGAAAGATATAGAGGATTGGGAAATTGAAACTCAAGATTAGCTGTATATATTCAGTGGTGGTTTGTAGGGTAGTGCCAGTGTGCCAGGGCACCTCCAACGAAAAGGAAGGAAAAAATTTTCACCACAAATATGTGAATACAATTTTGTTTCTTCTTAGTCCTTCAATGCTCTAGCAGTACTCTCTTCAAATTCACAGGGTGTGGTGCTATCTGTTCGCCTACTCCTGAACCTCTGAGCCACCTACGGAATGGCTCTGTCCATACGCATTTAACACTGTATGAAGAATGCTGGGTTGAGTTTGTATGCGTCTCTTATGAATGAGACAGTGCCAAATATGAATTGGCACACATGTTCACATTCTTTTTCACAGAGTGCATGCTTGACATTATCTTCATTGCCCAACATATCTCTTGTTCAGGATGACCCCCCATGCCTTGGTATTTCATACATCTCTCCTTGCGTTTCACTCATGGAGAGGTGGCGTAGGTCATGGGCGTAAGGCTTCCCCTCTTCTTCCTGTACCCTTCTTCAGCAAACTGAAGCAGCTCAGACCTCTTGAGATTACTGTGGGCACTCAGGCTTTCAGCCTGAGTATTTTAGTTGTTCTTATTATTTTTAGTTTGTTTTCAGTTTAATCTTCATTATAACTTAATAAACATGGTTATTGTAAAATTAAATTGTGTTGCTCAGGAATTTTATTTTAGAGATTACTAAACCAGTTTTAAAACATCACATTAATGTTTAAAAACATCAATTGTTTTTCATTGATGTTTTATTAACATCAATGTTATAATTTTAAACATCGGTATTCTGTTATCAATGACACATCACTAACTGGCACCACAAATAGAATTCCGTACCGGTCGCTACTGATCAAATGTAATTCACAGAATCAAAGAATCAGGGAAGTAATAATATTCATGAGAAAGATATTAAAATAGAGAATGTTAAAACAGACTATAGAAAATAACTGTTGTATAGTTAAGTTAGATATTTTGTGTAGAGAATACACAGGATCGGTAGTTGCTGTCTATAACTCTCCAAATACATCTGACAGTGAATTTAGTGACTATATTACAAACAAAGTTTAAGAAACAATGAAAATTAATAACTGCATAATAATGGGGTTTTCAATATAATTGCACAGAGAGAAAGTTACACCACAAAGAAGTTCAAAATTGTATCAAAAATAAGACTAATACAAAGAAATGAAAATTCCTTAATAACGACTGATTTTTCAAACAAATCTTCAGACAATGACCCCTAGTTTGTGAATATATACAACCTGCGAAGTAAAACAGTCATTCAACTGGCACGGATGAACATGTAAATTATTTAAAATACGTATTTCATATATAAGTATTTAAATACTGCCCAACCCTCCTCATTACAAATCGTACAAAATTTGTTTTAAACTAAATATTTTCAAGCAAATATCAACACAAATTTGACAATTTTAACCGATTTTCATGCAGGTAAATCATGTCAAATAAAATGCAATTGACAAAAATGAACTTTGAAGTCATTGTAGTATTCCAATTACCTGAAAGGTAGCAGTATTTCACATAGGTTTTAAATAATTTCTGAACGATTAACGTGTAAATGTATAACAAAAGTCAAATGTAAGAAACGAACAAAGATATATGAAATATACAAATTCTAACATAACCTAACTGTCGGGAATTACAAAAACTAAGCACAGTTAATTTGGACAGGCTATTATTTTTGTCTCCAAATTAGCCCAAAAATACTCATGTTTTTATAAAATTGCACATGACCTTATTTGAAGAGATATTTTTGATTGACACATCCTCTCCTGTCATTGCTTTGCACCAACACCACTTAGACATACAGTTTCTAGGTGGTGTTGCTTGCACTCCACAGATGTATATCTTAGACTGGATAATATTATAATTCTATGAATTATGGCCTAAATAACACAGTTCTTTAAGAATTATTTGCCTACAGTATGAAGGAACGATGAAACCCATATAATCACTATTGTCAGACCGTCAACTTTACGTACTCATAAGGCAATACATTGTACAAATAAATAAAGTTAAAAGTGCAAAAAGTCAAAAATAGAATTAATATTGACATTTTGCATGCAAAATTATCATTCCAATTAAATTAATTATTTTTCATATCATTCATTCAATTTTTCTCATGGCCATAGTTGATGTGAAACCTGTGTACATTACATTAATTTCAAACAGAAATAACGCAACAACCACCTTTTTTTCAAAAAATTATACATGCCCTTTTTTAAAGAGCTTATTTTGTACAACAGACTTTGTTGGAAGCAAAAATCTCCGTCTTCAATTTTGTAGTTTTGATTTTTTGTTGTTGTTGCAATTTGAAAAAAAAAAAGAGCAATACTAGAAAATGAGACTAGTGCTATATTTCTTACTGACCTTTATTACACATGTGAAAAATATTTTTTTAAAATGTGGAGTGGATTTGGAGAAAACTCTTTTTATAAATTTCAATTGCAAAACACGCAATAACTACTCTATTTTTTCAAAAACTTGTACATGACCTTCTTTGAGGGGTAATTTTGTACAAGAGACTTTGTCTTAGACAAAAATCTCTACCTCCAATTTTGAAGTTTTAAAATTATTTTTTACAAAGTTTCAAAAAATCAGGGATGTCAACAAAAATGATACCTGCTACATTCTCTTAAAATGTTCTTCGCAATATTCATCAACAAAATTTAATAAAAAATTTGTTTTGATTTGTC